CTTTAGAGACCATTTTTCTTGCAAATTTCTACTCAATGGCGTACCTCTAGGTCACACGATTCCAACGCAACCTCCATTCCCCTCATTGGCCATCGGTGCAATGAGAAATTGCACTTTAAACCGGACTTTTCGTGAGCCCACAGGCCTATTTGGTGAAAAAATGAAATTTCTTTAGAGACATTTTTTCTTGCAAATTCCAACTCTATGGCGTTCCTCTCGGTCACACGATTCCAACGCAACCTCCCTTCCCCTCATTGGCCATCGGTGCAATGAGAAATTGCACTTTAAACCGAACTTTTCGTGAGCCCACAAGCCTATTTGGTGAAAAAATGAAATTTCTTTAGAGAAACTTTTTCTTGCAAAGGCCAACTCTATGGCGTTCCTCTCGGTCACACGATTCCAACGCAACCTCCCTTCAACTCATTGACCATCGGTGCATTGAGATATTGCACTTTAAACTGAACTTTTCGTGAGCCCACAAGCCTATTTGGTGAAAAAATGAAATTTCTTTAGAGACCATTTTTCTTGCAAATTCCTACTCAATGGCGTACCTCTCGGTCACACGATTCCAACACAACCTCCATTCCCCTCATTGGCCATCGGTGCAATGAGAAATTGCACTTTAAACCGAACTTTTCATGAGCCCACAAGCCTATTTGGTGAAAAAATGAAATTTCTTTAGAGACCTTTTTTCTTGCAAATTCCAACTCTATGGTGTTCCTCTCGGTCAAATGATTCCAACGCAACCTCCCTTCAACTCATTGGCCATCGGTGCAATGAGAAATTGCACTTTAAACCGAACTTTTCGTGAGCACACAAGCCTATTTGGTGAAAAAATGAAATTTCTTTAGTGACCTTTTTTCTTGCAAATTCCAACTTTATGGCGTTCTACTCGGTCATGTGATTCCAACGCAACCTTCCTTCCACTCATTGACCAAAGGTGCAATGAGATATTGCACTTTAAACCGAACTTTTCGTGAGCCCACAAGCCTATTTGGTGAAAAAATGAAATTTCTTTAGAGACCATTTTTCTTGCAAATTCCTACTCAATGGCGTACCTCTCGGTCACACGATTCCAACGCAACCTCCATTCCCCTCATTGGCCATCGGTGCAATGAGAAATTGCACTTTAAACCGAACTTTTCATGAGCCCACAAGCCTATTTGGTGAAAAAATGAAATTTCTTTAAAGACCTTTTTTCTTGCAAATTCCAACTCTATGGCGTTCATCTCGGTCATATGATTCCAACGCAACCTCCTTTCAACTCATTGACCATCGGTGCAATGAGATATTTCACTTTAAACCGAACTTTTCGTGAGCCCACAAGCCTATTTGGTGAAAAAATGAAATTTCTTTAGAGACCTTTTTTCTTGCAAATTCCAACTCTATGGTGTTCTTCTCGGTCACTTGATTCCAACGCAACCTTCCTTCAAGTCATTGACCATCAGTGCAATGAGATATTTCACTTTAAACCGAACTTTTCGTAAGCCCACAAGCCTATTTGGTGAAAAAATGAGATTTTATTAGAGACTTTTTTTGTTGCATATTCCAACTCTATGGAGTTCCTCTCGGTCATATGATTCCAACGCAACCTCCCTTCGACTCATTGACCACCTGTACAATGAGATATTTCACTTTAAACCGAACTTTTCGTGAGCCTACAAACCTATTAGGTGAAAAAATAAAATTTCTTTAGAGACCTTTTTCATGCTAATTCCAACTCTATGTCGTTCCTCTCGGTCATATGATTCCAACGCAACCTCCCTTTCACTCATTGACCATCGGTACAATGAGATATTTCACTTTAAACCGAACTTTTCGTTAGCCCACAAGCCTATTTGGTGAAAAAATAAAATTTCTTTAGAGACCTTTTTTCTTGCAAATTCCAACTCTATGGCGTTCTTCTTGGTCATACGATTCCAACGCAACTTCCCTTCCACTCATTGAGCATCGGTGCAATGAGATATTTCACTTTAAACCGAACTTTTCGTGATCTCACAAACCTATTTGGTGAAAAAATGAAATTTCTTTAGAGAACTTTTTTCTTGCAAAGTCCAACTCTATGGCGTTCCTCTCGGTCACACGATTCCAACGCAACCTCCCTTCCCCTCATTGGCCATCGGTGTAATGAGAAATTGCACTTTAAACCGAACTTTTCGTGAGCCCACAAGCCTATTCGGTGAAAAAATGAAATTTCTTTAGAGACCTTTTTTCTTTCAAATTCCAACTCTATGGCGTTCCTCTCAGTCACACGATTCCAACGCAACCTACCTTCCCCTCATTGGCCATCGGTGCAATGAGAAATTGCACTTTAAACCGAACTTTTCGTGAGCCCAGAAGCCTATTTGGTGAAAAAAATGAAATTTATTTAGAGACCTTTTATCTTGCAAATTCCAACTCTATTGCTTTCTTCACGGTCACACGATTACAACGCAACCTTCCTTCCCCTCATTGGCCATCGGTGCAATGAGAAATTGCACTTTAAACCGAACTTTTCGTGAGCCCACAAGCCTATTTGGTGAAAAAATAAAATTTATTTAGAGACCTTTTTTCTAGCAAATTCTTACTCTATGGCATTCCTCTCCGTCACACGATTCCAACGCAATCTCCCTTCCCCTCATTGGCCATCGGTGCAATGAGAAATTGCACTTTAAACTGAACTTTTCGTGAGCCCACAAGCCTATTTGGTGAAAAAATGAAATTTCTTTAGAGACCTTTTTTCTTGCAAATTCCAACTCTATGGCGTTCCTCTCGGTAACACGATTCCAACTCAACCTCCCTTCAACTCAATGGCCATCGGTGCAATGAGAAATTGCACTTTAAACCGAACTTTTCGTGAGCCCACAAGCCTATTTGGTGAAAAAATGAAATTTCTTTAGTGACCTTTTTCTTGCAAATTCCAACTCTATGGCGTTCTTCTCGGTCATATGATTCCAACGCAACCTTCCTTCCATTCATTGACCATCGGTGCAATGAGATATTTCACTTTAAACCGAACTTTTCGTGAGCCCACAAGCCTATTTGGTGAAAAAATGAAATTTCTTTACAAACCTATTTTCTTGCAAATTCCAACTCTATGGCGTTCTTCTTGGTCATACGATTCCAACGCAACCTCCCTTCCACTCATTGACCATCGGTGCAATTAGATATTTCAATTTATACCGAACTTTTCGTAAGCCCACAAGCCTATTTGATGAAAAAATGAAATTTTTTTAGAGACCTTTGTTCTTGCAAATTCCAACTCTATGGCGTTCCTCTCGGTCATATGATTCCAACGCAACCTCCCTTCGACTCATTGACCACCGGTACAATGGGTTATTTCACTTTAAACCGAAATTTTCGTGAGCCCACAAGCCTATTTGGTGGAAAAATAAAATTTCTTTAGAGACCTTTTTCATGCAAATTCCAACTCTATGGCGTTCCTCTCGGTCATATGATTCCAACGCAACCTCCCTTTCACTCATTGACCATCGGTACAATGAGATATTTCACTTTAAACCGAACTTTTCGTGAGCCCACAAGCCTATTTGGTGAAAAAATGAAATTTCTTTAGAGACCTTTTTTCTTGCAAATTCCAACTCTATGGCGTTCTTCTTGGTCATACGATTCCAACGCAACCTCCCTTCCACTCATTGACCATCGGTGCAATGAGATATTTCACTTTAAACCGAACTTTTCGTGAGCCCACAAGCCTATTTGGTGAAAAAATGAAATTTCTTTAGAGAACTTTTTCCTTGCAAAGGCCAACTCTATGGCGTTCCTCTCGGTCACACGATTCCAACGCAACTTCCCTTCAACTCATTGACCATCGGTGCATTGAGATATTGCACTTTAAACCGAACTTTTCGTGAGCCCACAAGCCTATTTGGTGAAAAAATGAAATTTCTTTAGAGACCATTTTTCTTGCAAATTCCTACTCAATGGCGTTCCTCTCGGTCACATGATTCCAAAGCAACCTCCCTTCCCCTCATCTGTCATCGGTGCAATGAGAAATTGCACTTTAAACCGAACTTTTCGTGTGCCCTCAAGCCTATTTGGTGAAAAAATGAAATTTCTTTAGAGATATTTTTCTTGCAAATTCCAACTCTATGGCGTTCCTCTCGGTCACACGATTCCAACGCAACCTCCCTTCCCCTCATTGGCCATCGGTGCAATGAGAAATTGCACTTTAAACCGAATTTTTCGTGAGCCCACAAGCCTATTTGGTGAAAAAATGAAATTTCTTTAGAGACCTTTTTTCTTGCAAATTCTAACTCTATGGTGTGACCGCGATTCCAACGCCCAAAACCAGAATCAAACGAAAACCCAAAGAAATCGACATATAAGATAAAAAATCGCACTGACATTCGTCGACGTTGAGAAACGGCGTCGCCCCCCGTCGTCAGTCTTCTCTTCCTCCCTCATCCGCTATTAAACCCAGAAAAAACAAAACAAAACTCAGATCTGACTTTTCAAAAACAGAACCAAACGGAAACCCCAGAGAAATCGACATGTAAGATCAAAAACCACTCACCTTCGTCGCCGATGTGAAGGGCCGCGTCGCCCCTCGCCGTCGTCATTGTCATCGCCAGCAGTGTTCGCCTCCAGTCGCCGCCAGCAAAGTATTTTTTCATTTCCATCGTTTTTTCCAGAAGTAATGAGAGGGAAAGGGGTAAATCAAAGAAAAGAAGAACAAGGCGAAGCCCCTTTTTGGTTCGGTTCGGAGGATTGAGGGTTTGGAGGAGAAAAGAAAGAAATCGAGAAAGAGAAGTGAGAGTTGTCTGGCGAAGGGAACGAGAAAGAAAGAAAGATAAAGAAAAAAAACGAGAGAGAGAACGAGGCGGGCGGCCGCTAGGATTTAGGAATCGGACAAGATTTGAGTCTCTAAAACGAGAGAGAGAGAGAGAGAGAGAGAGGGTGGGGCGGCCGCTCAGCTTTAGGGTTAGTGCAAGATTTGAGTTTTATATGCGCAGCAGTCATTTTTTTTTTTTTTTTTTTTACTTGAACCTGGGAAACTTTCATTAATCAGCCGGGAAAGTTACATTGTCCAACTCTAGCTGATCAAGCAGGATGATCGGTGGACTATCCACCCAAACAGACCTTTCATTCCAAATCGTTTCCACGTGTGCCATTATATGAGCCACCACGTTCGCTTCTCTTGGTGCATACTGCCATGAGGATTCGCCTAACTGTACGAGCAGCCGGCGGATGTTTCTACACACCACTCCCTCTTCAGTTCTGATCCTTTCCGCCTGGGAAATATCTGCAACAAGATTCAAACAGTCCGTCTCCAAGATTGGGTTTGTAAGATTGAGCTGTACCGCCATCTGCACGCCTAGCTCCATCGCCAAGGCTTCCGCATCCTCCGGATCCCAGATGCCTTTGATCTTCTTAGCCACTACAAAGAGGAAGCGGCCAGCAGAGTCCCTTGCTACAGCGCCGAGACCCGCACCTCCTCCCGGCAAGATTCCTGCATCCGAGTTGATTTTGATCCTTCCCAAGGGTGGAGCCCTCCATATCTTTTGAGTAGTTTCCGCCTGCAGATGAATTTCCTTCTCTTGTCTTTGTTGGTAATCGGCTAACAGTCTAGCTGCCGAGGTAGCAATCTCCAGCTCATTCATCTTGAACCCATTGAATAAGTGAGCATTACGCTCCTTCCAGATGTAGTACAGCAGGACGCTCCATGACTCCAGAAGACTGTACTCCACACCATCGATCACCGCCTCAAGCCAGGCTAGGCAATCTTCGCCGACCCTCTTCTCAAAACAGACCGCCGTAGGAGATGTTCGCCAAATGCGGCGCCCCCATTCACAATCGCCAAAAGTATGTGCCTGGGTCTCCAATTGATCACAGAACGGGCATCGATCACTCCACCGTGGGCTATGGGAACTTACTTTGACCCCAGTAGGGAGCGCGTCCTTGGCGAATCTCCAGAGGAAGTGCCTAACTTTTGGGGGAACGTTTAGTTGCCAAATTTTCTTCCATACATGGGCTGCAACTGGAACTGTCCGGCCATGATTTTCATTTTCCTGTTCAACCCAGCTCCGGTAAGCATCTTTCACCACATACTCCCCATTCCTGCTTGACGCCCAAATTTGGATGTCTTGTTCCGATATGTCACGTAATGGAATGTTGTGGACAGCCTCCTCCATTTCTTTATTCAAACATGCCGCGAGCAAAGTCGAATCCCACTTTCCGGTATCGGGGTCAATTAGCTCACGCACCCTCGCGTCAGCTGGCAGTCCGCACGGGGCGGAGACAATAAAACCCTCCGGGGCCGCGGGAACCCAGCGGTCTCCCCATATTCGAACGCTATCACCATTGCCTATCCTCCAGCGCATACCTCTGTTCAGAAAATCCTGGGCACTTAGAAGGCTTCTCCAGATAAAGCTTGGTCTATATCCAACTTCAGCTTCCAAAACCGACGAATGTTTGTGATATTTTGTTCGCATAATCTGAGCTACTAGGGACCCTGGTCTTTGGTGCAGATTCCATAGTTGCTTAGCCAGCAACGTTGTATTGAACCCACGAAGGTTTCTGAAACCCATGCCACCATTCTCCTTAGGGGTCTCCAAGTCCTCTCTCTTAACCCAATGAGCTTTCCTTTCAGTACCTCTCTGCCCCCACCAGAAGTTGTTTATTAGTTTGTGAGCTTCATCAACAACTCCCTCTGGGATCCTAAACACTGACATGGGGTAAGTCAGTTGGGATTGAGCAACAGACTTTATCAAAGTCTCTCGTGCTGCTGTCGACATCGTTCTCTCTTTCCATCCTTTTAGTTTCTTTCGCAGTCTGTCCATTATCCCTTCAAATAGCTCCTTTTTTGATCTCCCAGCTTCAGTTGCTAATCCCAGGTATTTATCTAATTTATCCACTGTCTTCATGTTTAGCACACCACCAATCTCCAACTTGCGATGAGGTTTGATATTTTTGCTGAAGGAGATTTCAGACTTCTGGAAGTTAATTAACTGGCCCGATTCTGCTGCATAGTCCTGTAGGATTCTCTTCAAACATAAACTTTCTTCCACAGTAGCCCGCCCAAAGAACACACTGTCATCTGCAAAGAAAAGGTGTGAAATTATCATTCCTCCTCTCCCCGGTTGCATCCCACTGATCCTCTTCTCATCCGCAGCTTTAGCAGTATAAGCTGAAAGTCCTTCTGCACAAAGCAGGAACAGATAAGGAGATAATGGGTCTCCTTGCCTGAGCCCTCTGCCTGGTAAGAACTTTTCCGAGCGATGACCATTTACCAGCACTGAGTATGATACTGAACAGACACATTTCATAATAAACTGGATCCACCCTTCCGCGAAACCCATCTTTCTCATTACTCGCTCTAGGAAGTGCCACTCTACTCGGTCATATACTTTCGCCATGTCGATTTTAGCGGCAAACCACCCTCTCCTCCCCTCTTTCTTCAGCTTCATTGAGTGAAAGCACTCAAAGGCGGCAATGACATTATCAGTTATGAATCGTCCTGGGACAAAAGCGCTCTGTTCCGGTGAGATTACTTTATCCAGAAGCTTCTTCAGTCTGTTTGCTGCAGTTTTCGCCACAAGCTTGTAGATAACATTGCATAAACTGATTGGCCGAAAGTCCTTCGGTGTAGCAGGTTGCTTCACTTTCGGGATCAAGGCAATCAACGTATGGTTGAGGCCTTCTGGGATCTCTCCACCAGCCAGAATTCCGAGCACAGTCTCTGTGACCTCATCTCCCACAATATGCCAGTACCTGCGGAAAAAGAACACCGAAAAACCGTCAGCACCGGGGGCTTTCCGTTTTCCCATTTGTTTCAAGGCCGCCACGACTTCTTCTCGGTCAAAGGGGCGCATGAGCTCCTCGTTGTCCTCGGCGGAGACTGAACATTTAATGGAGTCAACTACCGGTGTCACTGCTGGGGCTTCACCTGCAGTAAACAGAGACATAAAATAGTCCGTAAGGCACTTGAAGAGAGCCTCCGACCCAGTGTACAACCTGCCTTCCTCGTCTCTTAGTTTCCGCAGCATATTCCTTCTCCGTCGTGCACTAGCTTTTTTGTGAAAAAAGTTCGTATTTTTATCTCCATCCTTCAGCCAGTCCGCACGAGATCGTTGCTGCCAGTATTGTTCCTCGTTATCTTCAAGTTCCTCGAGCTCATTCCGGAGTTGTCGAAGCTGCTGCAGAACTGCTTCAGTTTTCGGCATCCTTTCCAGACTCCTAGTAGCTCTCATAATCTTCTTACGCTGTCTGTTAAAATTCGGGAACCTCTCCTTGCTCCAGTCATCAAGTTTTGCCTGGCAAGTGTTGAGCTTTTCCAGGATGTTTGCCTGGGGAGAATTATGCCATCCGTCTTCAACTATCTCCGCACAGTCATCCTGTTTTTCCCAGAACGGGTCGAAACGAAACGACCAGCCCCAGCGGGGTTCGGCCTCATCCTCTCCTTCAGTGTAGCACAAGATCGGCCGGTGGTCAGAACGGGTACTATCTAAATGCTTCACCCAACCCTCTATGAACCGCTCTTTCCACAGATCATTTCCCAGGAAACGATCCAATCGCTCTTCAATGTAAGCCCCTTCCCCTCTTCTGTTTTCCCACGTGAAAGGGTATCCACAGTATCCTAGGTCATTCAATCCCGCCTCGGTGAGGCTACTAGCAAACCTGCTCATCTCGCCATCTGCTACCCTTTTGCCTCCACTCTTCTCATTCACTTCTTTAACTTGATTTAAATCGCCACCCATTAACCAAGGACCAGCCCACGTCTTGGCCAGCTCCTTAATCAGATCATTAGTTTTCTCTTTATCCTTATGTTCCGGCCACCCATACACGCCTGTGAACCGCCAAATATCCCCACTTTGGTCATTGACTCTCATGTCTAGATAATTTGCCGTCAAGTCCATAGCAGTAAGGGATACTTCAGAAGTCCACCAAATACTCAATCCACCAGCCCTACCTCCTCCCGCCGTATCTGTTGCCCATCTGCTGCCATTCGCGAAGCCTAGTTCATGTTGGGTCTTCTCATTCTCATCCTCAGTCTGCTTTGTCTCCATTAAAAAGACAATCTGCGGAGAAGCTTGTCGCAAAAGCGACTTCAAGGCTTTAACTGCACGCTTGCTTCTCAAACCGCGGCAGTTATAGCTTAGGATCCGCATTATTTACCCAAAGGGGATGGGCTCCCCGCGCCTTCACGATCTTTATCCTGGCCGAATTGGGTCTGTTGGTGGCCATCCAGCGTCCTGTCTGCAGTTTGTACCCCTTCTACCGTCGACTTGCCCGGTTGTGTGGGAGATGCATTTCCCGCTACTGGTGCCTTGTTGTTATTATTATTTACTGCCCGAAACAACACCTTAGCTGTGCCTCCCGGGGCCGCCTCCTTCACCGGTTTCTGGTTGTTCGGTGTCGTTTGAGATTTCTTAGTCCCGCTCCCCTCGTTAGTGGTCTTAGGGGCTTGTGGTTTTTGTGGTTTCTTTGTGTTATTCCCTTTCTTCGCCTGCACATACCCTCCTTCCTCTGCTCCATTATTTTTGTTTGACTCCCTGGTTGTACCTTTCTGTTGGGTCTGTTGAGTGTCAGGCCCATGTTGGGAAGGCTTAGGATTTTCACCCTCACTTTCAGCATGCAGCACATCAAACCGGTTAATAAAATTCCTTCGTCTTCCCTGTTCCGAGCCACTTCTCTTATCATTCGCCTCCACCTTGTTACTTGGTTTCCAGGCCTTCTTCTTCACTACCATCCAATCCCCATAGATCTGTCCAGTAGGTAAATCAGTTGTAGCCGGGTTCTTTCCATTCACTTCCACATTCGTCTCTTGTTCTCGTTCCTCTTGGGGTTTTTTTGGGCACTCACCACTATGGAAATCATAGCATCCGCATTTGCCACATAGTCGATGAAGCCCCTCATAACCCACTCCATACGTAATACCCTCTATTTTGTACTGTGAGAGGAGGGGTTTGGTTAAGTCTACTTCCACACAGACCCTTGCGTATTTGACCCTCGCTCCCATTATTGTAGCTTGATCTACTTGGATCGGTCTCCCAATCTGTTGAGCTATACGAAGGACTGCCTCTTTATTAAAATATTTCACGGGCAGCTCAGGTAGCTGCACCCAAACCAAGGCTGAGTTGACGTGAGATTTCCAGGGATTAAAGCCCTTATACCACCGTATCGCAGTAAGGTACGTGTCGCCGATCAACCATGGTCCCCCCGACGATGCATACTCATAGTCCTCTTTAACCTTGAATCTCACTAGATAGCATCCATTAGACATATCAGAGATTTTTATAGCTCCTCTTCGTGCCCATAGCGACCACAACCTATTGGACAGTGGGGTGAACGGGATATCACGGCCTAAACCCTTGACTATCAAGGCAGACCTCCACTTCCGTCTCCAATCGAGCTTTTCTTTGGCCGTAAACAGAATCGTTGGGCATCGCGGGTCATCTTCTTCAGCAATATAATCATCCTCCTCCTTGTTAGCCATTTCAACATCCTCCGTATCAGATTCAGCTATGTACCACTCATCATCTTCATCAGTGTCATGGAAAAGCTTCGCCGATCCATTGGACCATGCTCCTATGGGTGAATCCGCTTTGGTTCGTGGTTCGCTTTCAGCACTATCCTCTAACATCTCATCGTCTAGCCTCGCGTCTTTGGTAAGGTCGAAAGCCCTGGGTCTCTTCTTTTGGTGTTGGGTCTCCTTGTCCTTCACACCTTTTCCATCCGGTGAGGACGAGGCGATAGGGGGTCTCGTGGAACCCGAAACTGGGTCTGGGGGTTTGGCGGCCATAGCAGGTTCAGTGGCGCCTCACCGCCAATCAGGAAACCCTAACGTCGCCGAGCAAAATCGCTTACTTGGGGTTTCGGGAGTGATTAATTACTTTCCGAATAGGCGGTTCCAATCCATATGCGCAGCAGTCATATCATAATAACAAATAAAAAAACACTTATAAATAATTTCATAAGTTTTGAGAAATTTATTTTTAAATAAAATATTTTTGAGTTTGGTATTTAAAAGAATGGGTTAATACCTCAGTTTGGCCCGAACTATAGACAAAGTTTCTACTTTGGCTCTTGGTATCGGAAATTGCTATTCTGTCCTAAACTATGTAGCATACTTTCTTATTTGGCCCGGAGGTTGGTTTGACCGTCTAATTCGTTGACCGTTAGTCAAAGTCCACCGCACTTGCCACGTTAGCTATCAAGGAAAAAAAATTATTATTTTTTGAATTTTTGAGTTAGTCAAAGTCCACCTCAGCTAGTTGTTTTCGCGAAGAGTGGAATTTTGTAGTCCGGTGAATGGATGGTGAAGAATTTGCAGGGCCATTGCCTGCGGTGGGCGGCGACGAGGTTTGGAGTCCGGCAGACGGAACTTTTTAATTTTTTTACAAAAAATACTATTTTATTCATGGTTAATGGTAGATGGATGAAATTTTAATTGGCGCACAATTCACTGATATTGGTGGTACCCGACGCCCTATTCGTACTTAAGTGGTATAACTCCCCCAATTCTCGTACTTTAGTGGTATCTGAGGTATTTTACCCTTATATTAGGGCTAAAAAATAATTTAAAAGTGAGAAGATACAAGTTGTTTCACAAATTCGGTTGTGTGAAAAACCGAACCAAACCGAATTAAAATTCGATTTAAATCGACCAAACCAAATTATAATTTAATTAGATTTCGGTTTTAGGTTTGGGAGAATTCGAGGACCCGATATTCATAATTTTGGTTCGGTCGAAACCGAACCGACCGAATGCCCACCCCTAATGGTAAGTAACCATTTGGAATCTGCCAAAAATGACCCCATAAAAAATTCGTCTAAATTGGTTCTTAATATGACTTAAGCATCGGGAAATAATAGCCTTAGGGTGAATCCATGATGTGTAGCCTTCAAAATCAAAGGAAAATTGCATTTCAAAAATTCGCTTAAAAATTTACGAAAATGTCTTCCATTTTTTTTTTTTTTTTTTTGCACAAATAGGCGATTAATAGACTTTATCACTGTTGGAGAATAGCCCCAGGCCGAAATCATGACTTGTAGCCTTGAGAATCTAAGTAAAATAGCATTTCAAAAGAAATTGTCAAAATTTGTGATGGCACCCCTTTCGAATATGCAAAAAATGGTCGTGGAAAAAAATCGCTCAAATCGTTGTTTGATAGATTTAATCATCAGTAAAGAATAGCTTCAAGTCGTATCCGTGATTTGTATTCTTCAAAATTCAAGAAAAATGAAAATTTGAAAAAAAGTCCAAAAAATTATGAAAATGCCCTTGGTTCACTTGACATTTGAAGTATGTCAAATCTATCTAATTGCAGTGAAAAATGTGATGGAAACCCGACTAGTGGCGCCAGGCCGGGTTAGGACGGAAGGGGGCAAGTTTAGGGATGGCAGTTCAACCCGGACCCGTGGGTACCCGACCCGACCCAACCCGGTCAAACCGGGTAAAACCCGTGTTGACCGGGTTCGGGCCGGGTTCGGGTTTAAACCCGGTGGCTGGTTGGGCGGGTTGGGTCGGGTTCGGGTTTGGGGGAACCCGACCCGTGGATACCCGGACATAACCCTACAAATCAAAATTCCCCCAGCCCAGACCCCCACTCCCCAGGCCCAGCCCACTTCCCTAATTCCCTTCCCACCCTAATCGGAAATCGCAGATCACAATTCACAAATTCACAAACCCTAATCGGCGACTCCTCTCTTCCTCTCTTCCTCTCCGCGCGAGTGACTCCTCTCTTCTCTTCCTCTCTGCGAGGCGCGAGCTGCGACAGTGCGACTCCTCTTCCTCTCCGGCGAGACCAGCACCGCGACTCCTCTTCTCCATCTCCAGTCCCGACTCCCAATCCGACGGCCGCCCTCCCCCTGCTCTTACTTTGCTCCGGCTCCGCCTCTCCGACACCATTACCGGCCGCGCCTCTCCGGCTCTCCCTGCTCCTCTGCCCCGACACTGAGACACGCCAGTCGTCGACTCCGCCGCCAGACGCCACTCTCCCTGCTCCTCTTCTTCAGGTCGTCCAATCCACCGGCGTCCGGCGCCACTCACCTCTTCTTCAACACGGCTGTCTGCGTCTCTCTTATTCCTTCCCTTTGTAAGAATCTAAGCCTCCAACTGGCTGATTTCATAAATACTCTACACACTATACACTGAGGGATATATGCCCCCATAGCAAGGAAACGATTTATCTTTTGTTTAAAGAAAGTCCTGCGCAAATTGCTTTAAATTGGTGACGATGGCGGCGACCGCGGCGGCCAGCAACTGGCTGAACTGGAGGTTCTTGCTATGTTAATAGTTTCTTGTTAATTATTATTTTATAAATATTTTACCAAAAAAACCCGCGGGTAACCCATCAACCCGCGGATACCCACCGGGTTGGGTTTGAGTTTTTCAAACCCAGCGGGTTTTACCCCGGGTTTTTTTGACGGACAAACCCATGGGTTTGGGTTCGGGTTTGGCAAAACCCGCCCCAACCCGACCCATTGCCATCCCTAGGCAAGTTCCCGCCAGAGCCCTTTTGTTTTTTTACTATTATTATTTTGTTGAGTTACTTTTCAGAACAACTATTTAAGGATTGAGACGTTGTTATTTGAGATAATGAAAGAACAATATTGAATCTCTAATTTCCCAACTCTCCTTCTCTTTCCGCTTCTTCCCCCAAATTCCCTTATCAATTATGCCTCAATTGCCAATTTCTCTTCTCAATCCCTAATTCTTATTCTAAACTTGCCCAAATTCCTAACCCTAATCACTTGATTCCCAACAAAATGAAATGTGTCTCGTGGTAAAAAAAGAATTTGCTATAGTTTGTCTGTGCAACATTCCTCTTTCATCATTCCAAATGAAAATACATTCATGCTGATACTAACTCACAAGCGATTTAGAGCTATTAAACTCTTGTGATGGAAACTATGATGTCGTTTATGGAACCTTGAACGACCCAGAGGATGAAGAAGTCGATGATAAGTTTTTCGATGCAACACTGGTGAGACAAAGAGGGTGGTAACGATAGGATACCAGTAGTTAAGGAGTCTATAACGAAACTGAAGAATGTTCTCTTGGCCATCAGATTCACAAACTTGAGCAAGAGGCAAACTTTAGATCTTTTCTTGCATGCAAGATCTCTCTTCTGTGTATCTTCACAATGAAACTTAATTTTTCATTCGTCAAATTTGCAGGCTTTAATTAAATATAATAGGGAATTGGGACCAAAGTGTACCTCCAATGAACGTTGATCCATGTTTGGTTTGTGGTACTGATAGAAACCTGCATTTTTGTTCTTTGCATTTGGACTTCTTTGTTAGTTAATTATTGTTTGTGATTTGATTGGGGCATTTCGAATTATTTGGAGGGATTAATAAGTTGGGGTAGCTATAGGAATTATGAATTAGTATTACTATATAAACCTGTCAGAACAAAAGCGTGCAATCGATAATCCAAACCAACACGAACGAACACAAATTTAACGTGGTTCACTAACACAATGTGTGCTAGCTAATCCACGGGCAGGGGGACAAATTTCACTAATTTGAGGAGAGTACAGGTTACAAACCAAATTCCAAACGGACAAACCAAACAAACTAAACTGACTGACCTTACTACAGACTAGGGTGATGAAGAGTATTTATAGAACTCTTCTCCTAATCCCAAACAGAAAACCAAACACCTTTTCCCAACACATACAAGGAAAAGGTCAAACAAAGCTTAAACATAAACCCAAACAAAATAGGCTCAAACACAAAACAAACTCAAATCAAATTCAAGTCATATTCTAACAATCTCCACCTTGACTTGAATTCTCTCTCAAATACCAGATGTACCAGATGCAACGAAAGTTGCCAGATGTACCCAAACACGATCCTTATCGCTAAATTTACTCAAAATGCGATCCAAATCGCTAAACTCATATGCAATCAAAATTGCCAGACGTACTAACTCCTCCAAATCAGCTGTACCAGAATCTCCCATGCTTCCAAATGCCCCTAAGGGCGGTCAACAACTCAAACCATTCGGCAAGTCCAATCCATATTGAGACTTGCCATTCAGAACCAACTTGCTGCACTTATCACCAACAGAACATGTCAAAACAGTTTTGTACGTGGGAGTGAGGGTTAAACAAGATTAAACCTAATTGTGTTTCCAAAATTTATAGGGAACAATTCACCAAGACTCCAAATCCCCAGTTCCTTGGAAGGACAACCACAACCTTAATAAGGTTGAAAAGGAAACATGCTCTTGATTGTGATCATGGCGACAAGAAGTAGCATTGTTGAAAACTTTGTGTAGCTAAGGGCCACCATCTGAAGCTTCTGTTTAGTATTATGGTTTTATCTATGGGATGTTTAGTTTTTTTTTATTCGGGTGTCTATTTTTTATCCAAACTTTTTTCAGATTCTTTTAAATTATCCAAACCTATTAAAATTCTATTAATTATCCAAATCTTTCATAATGCATCAAAATATTAGTCATTTTTACGTTATCGCTAAAAATTTTGTAACTCTTTTCTTAGTTAAAATATTAATATTTTGGAATGTTGACCTTCATGAGTCTCTTCCAAGTCAGTATCATGTAGCCAAGTCAATATTACTAACAAAACTGCTAACATTTGGCTAATTCTTAGTATTTCCATAGGCTTGGATAATATAAAAGAATCTGAAAAAGCTTTGGATAAAAAATAGACATTACCTTTTTATTTATTTTGTTTTTTTAATAGTAATAAATCATAAGGTTGAAATTAATAAAACAAAAAAATTACAGCCAAACAATTGACTTTTCGCCACATCATCAAGATTTGTCCA